CCTGTATGTGTGCTGTGCTCGCTCTTCCCTCCTGGCACTGCAGAGGAGCTGCTGGCGCCTGTATGTGTGCTGTGCTCGCTCTTCCCTCCTGGCACTGCAGAGGAGCTGCTGGCGCTCCTTCCCTACATCTTCTCATTCTTGTGCACACAAAGCACAACTCCCGCCATCGCTTCTGCTTTTCATGTAGTGGGCTATTTGGTACATGATCCAACACCTGTTTAGCAGCAACTTTTGGGCTTCCTTTGGCTGACAGTTTAAGAAAGGCTGCAGTTTGCCATGGGTAAAGCCAGGAAGGGGAGGTGACTGTAGTCACGAAGCAGAGGAGACAGGAAGTGGGGCTGGGCTAAAAAAACCTTAAGGCCCACCCTTAGTGATTCACTCCCTCCCCTCAGCAAGGCTCCTCCTCCTAAAGACTTCATGAACTTTCTAAACAGCACAGCTAAGCCATAGGAAAAAGTGCTCAGACTTCACACTCAGATCACAATGCTTTGCTTTCTAGTAGATCTTTCTATCTGTGTATTTGCTATTTTACAGAGTTTATGTCTCTAGGTTCCCAGGAACAGATATGCATAGAAAGTTATATGTACTGCACACAAGACCAGTGTTAGTCATTGGGCGTGGCTTCTTTTTGCCTTTCTCCCTTTCCTCAGTCTCATTCATTTATTCATTCATTCATGGCTTGTTTGTTTAAATGATGTAGCCTTAGCTGTCCTAGGACTGGCCTTGAACTCATAGCAAGCCTCTGGTATCTCTGCCTCCCAAGCCCTGGGATTGAAGACACACCATGTGGCACTCAGCCCACCTTTTCCTCAGTCTGAAATGTGAAATACTCACTTTGTCATTCAGATTCTGTCTTCCAAGGATGGACAAGACTTTGATGCAATAGTTCTCAGCTGTAGGAGGGGTAGCTTTGTTCACCTACAGGACATTTGGAAATTTCTGGAGATGTTTTTCTTGTTGTAACTGATAGGAGGAAGTGCTACTGGAATTTAGCAAAAAGAAGACCTGATGTGTTTTCTTCAGGGTCCATCGACACACATGACAGGCAAGCCCTATCCTTAGAGATGATCCTTTCAATAAAGTTGAGAAACCTTGCCCCAGAAGCGGGTGGGGCATAGAGAGCAATAAGTCAGAAAATCAGCATCTCCAAGTGCCCATGCTGCTCCGCCATATGTGAAGAGTGTTCACTGCAAGGGAGAAATGCGTGCCCGTAGTCTTAAGCCACTGTGCGTCTAGGCTTGCTCTGGGAGGAGCACAGCCTTTCTCATAATAATGCCCCACTATTCTCTTTGAGACAGTGTCTCATTGTGTACCCCTGGCTGCACCCCTTGAACTCTCTTATGTATTCTAGGCTGGCCTTTAATTCAGAGATCTGCCTGCCTCTGTCTCCCTAGGGCTGGGATTAAAGGTGTGTACCACTATGCCTGGCTGCCTTGGTTTAGATAAGAGCCCCTTATGACTTTTCAGTTAAATGTTTCCACTGAAAACATGGAAATACCCTAGTATCTTTAGACAGGGTTTCAAGCAAGGTGAGCTCCACAGAACTGGGGACTTGACTCCATCACTGCCAAAGCACTCAATTTTAGTTCTAATCTAGGACTATTCTCAAATTTGCTTTGTAGTCAAAGATAGCCTTACATTTCTGATTTCCTACCTTGACCTCCTGAGTACTGGGATTGCAGACATGTACCACCACAATGGATGAGTTTATACGGTGCTAGGAACTGAATCCAGGACTTTGCATATTCTAGGCAAGCACTCTACCGACTGAGCTACATCTCCTGTCCATGGTTTTTGCTCTAGTGTCTTAGATTCATCATTCTTTTTAGTGTGGTGAATGAAACCGTGAGGTAGACTACAGAAGTCTCCTTTGGAGTTGTCAAGTTTGGTTTCAGTCATTTGGGATTGATCCATTTCCCTCTGCTGAAGGAAGATGGTGTTTATTCTGGAATATTGTCTGTGAAGATTCTTGGAGAATAGCTACATATGTTACTAGTATTCTATTCCAGCTCTAGTGGAATACAAAGATGTTCCATGCTGTCTGTGTTAAGAAAGAAATCTTGGTGATGGCTAATTCACGGTTGGGAATCCTTCCCCTTCAAGTGTTCTAATCCTCTGTCGAAGCCATTTGAAGCCAGGTGAGCACCACAGGACTGGTGACTCCATCTTTACTGGGGCACATTTTTGGTCCTAGTCTAGGTTTTGGACTATGGGTCTGACTTAGGGTAGGATTTGAAATGTTTCATCTGCAGGGCTTCAAAGCAGGAAGACCGAACCCATAGTCAACAGGAGCCCATGGAAAGCTATAGAGAGCTCAGGTGTGACATTGTTCCTACCCTCTTCCATGTCTGCAGAAATGAGCATTTTTCTTTTGCTAACAGTGTAAACTATATATTCTTTCAAGTGGGCAGCGGGAAGACATGATTCATCCTGCCGTCTAGTTTATTCTGTGACAGAACAAGCTGGACAGCATTGAATGGCCTTCATCTTTCTTATCCCTTTGTTTGAAAGCAGTGCTGTATAATCCTTACAAAGCATAGTGTGGGAAATAAATTTGCGCTCAAAGATCTGTCCTGTAGGTAAGTTTGGACTGAAATGGAACAGACACTCTCTGGCAGTTTGGTGACTAGATAAGTGAATGAATTTTTAAAATTTTGTCATGCAAAACATTTTAGTGGTCATATCTTAGAAAAGGGTAAATCATAACTCATAGTAAAGGTTGTGCCAGGGTTTATAGACTAGACCCCTGGTAATGGATTCAACCTTTCCACAACAAATCAAAAGTATTGTTGTGTGCTCACATGAATATACGGTAGTCATTACCTTAAATTTAAAACGCATAGAAGCAGCAAACCCAGAGAGCAGGGTGTGAAGGCTGCACCGGACCAGTGTGCTCTGCAGAGAATTTCTTCATGCGGACTTTGCCTGGCTGAAATATGCGCTGCAGTTCAAAGCTAAAGGGATTACTTTTGAATAGTCACTGCAGAGGTTGATTACATCCGTCTA